GTGAAATCACACAAACCATCAGCACAGAGTAGGCTGACGGTTTAATCTTAAATCTAAAGTCTGAGGTCTAACACAAGCTTTGAGCTCAACATGGCGCAAGGAGACGGGACAAATAGATGAATAAAACACGGTGAGTATCAAACATTGCGTACCTGTTTATACCTTTGTATTAGTGACGTAATCTTTCTTTTGCGACGGTTTGATGCGGCTCTGCATTCGCTGATTACACTAAAAAATGTAATTCTCTTTAATCAGTTTATATACAGTTCTATGTGCATTCTTTATCTTTGCCTTGAGTAAAAGCTACAAAAATCACAAACCCCTCCTTGCAAGCATCAAAAGTAAAAGTTCTCGTTGTGCAGAGTGTCCCTTTCAGAGTAATTATGAGAAATATTACATGAATGGAATATTATTATTGATGCATTAACTTGTATCATTTCAATGTTGGAGCGCTATTGTATTTTATTGTATGTTGAAAGCTTAATCTGCAGAGTAACTTGTAGGAATCAAAAGTACTATTGTACAAGAGTAGAAGTATAAAGAAGAAGAAAATGGGAATACCTCAAAATGTACTTGAGTTAATGTACTTAGTTACTGTCCACCTCTGTGTTTATCATGTATTCAACCTGTGATATGGAACTGAAAGTTATTTAAAAAGTACTTAAATAATCAATTATTTGTCCTTGTCTTAAACAAACAGAGGCGCAAGAGTACTCAGATCTCGTACTCAAGTAAACATAATACCACAGTTTAGAAATACTCTGTAGTGTAGAAATACTCTGTTACAGGTAAAAGAAGTGGTCAAATTTTACTCAAGGAAAAGTGGAAAAGTATTAGCTTCAAAGTACACTTACAGCACCAACAGAAAAAGTACTCATTATGCAAAATGTCCCATTTGAGAATATTTGTACTATGTCATTGTATGATATTTTAAATGTCCTCCCTCACAGCTTTGGCTGATCAGCATGGATGTCTCAGAGGAGGACGACTACTTCTACCATGACAACATCAGCTTCAACTTCAGCTACGAGGACTACCCGGTCCTCTGCGAGAAGGGCGATGTCCGTTCCTTCGCAGCCATCTTCCTCCCCATCATGTACACTGTGTGTCTGGTGGTGGGACTGGCAGGAAACAGCTTAGTCGTGGCGGTCTACGCCTACCACAAACGCCTCAAAACCATGACGGACCACTTCCTGACCCACCTGGCTGTGGCCGACCTGCTCCTGCTCTGCACGCTGCCTTTCTGGGCTGCTGATGCGGCGCGGGGCTGGGAGCTGGGCGAGGCCGTCTGTAAGATCGTGTCTGCCTGCTACTCGGTCAACTTCACCTGCTGCATGCTGCTGCTGGCCTGCATCAGCCTGGATCGCTACTTGGCGTTAGCCAGGGCGCAAAGTAAAGACCAAAGTCGGTGGCTGCGGAGGATAATCACCAGGAGACACTGCTGGAAGGTGTGTTTAGCTGTTTGGGCGACAGCTTTCCTCCTTGGTCTTCCTGATTTAATTCTCTCAGAAGTGAGATGGTTATCTAATAGGAGTGTCTGTCTGGCTATCTACCCTCCATCAATGGCCCAAGGGGGGAAAGCTGCTCTGGAGATAGCAGAGGTGCTGCTGGGATTCCTGCTTCCGCTCCTGGTTATGGTGATCTGCTACTGGAGCGTGGGCCGGGCACTAAAGGGCCTCCCTGTGGAGAGCAGAGGCAAGAAGTGGAGAGCTCTACGTGTCATCCTCACCGTAGTGGGGGTGTTCGTGGTCACTCAGCTGCCGTACAACGTGTTGAAGGTCTACAGAGCGATGGACTCCGTCTACGCCTTAGTGACCCACTGTGGGACGAGTAAAGTGTTGGATCAGGCGGCTCAGGTGACAGAGAGCTTGGCCCTCACTCACTGCTGCCTCAACCCGATCCTCTACACCTTCGTGGGGTCGTCCTTCAGGCAGCACATGATGAAAGTGGCCAAAACGTTTGGCGAGAAGAGAAGAAAGAGGAGGAAGACGAGGGAAAATGCAGCAGAGGACGAAGAGATCGAGATGTCGTTTAACTCCCACTGTGCATCCCAAGAGACAAACACATTCTCAATATGAGCCAAAACTAGTGAAATATCCCATATAAAGCAGAAGAGCAGATGCAACAGTAGAAGCATGTGAGGGAATCATTAAGATGTACAAGAATTCCACAGACGTTTTAATACTTTAACACTTCAATCCCCTCCATATCAAAACAGGAGGTTGTTAGTTGTATTCTTGTTTACTTTCAAAGACCAAAGAAATGTATGTTTTTTCTACTGTGAGCGATGAATGCAAAAATAATTTGGATTTCTGTTTAGAGTGATGTTTTGTCTGTTTTCAAACCCTGGTCCAGAGGAAACAAATAATTTCAAGTGTATTTTTCATAGATATTTTTTCTTTAAGACTGATTCAACCCTTCAAGATTACTTGGAAAGGATAGAGAGGGAGGATCGTACACATTCAAACATTTCGCCACACGCTTGTGGTAAGTACGGCATTGGCACACTAGTTATTTACATAACCACAAGTCCATGTTGTTTTGCCTTCCCTTTCAAACTTATTACAACATCCCCGTTCTGTTTTATCTAAATGTTGGCACATACACTACTCAGTGCTTGTATGGGACAATAGTTGTGATGTAACAATCTGTCTGAGGTCTGCATAACTATGGTAAAATAGGTCTGTTGTTTTCCATAATCTGAGATGGTGCGAGCGTGTAGATGTTGAACAGAAGAGGCCCGAGAATGGAGCCTTGGGGAACTCCATGTAGTCTTCGTCGATCCAATGTGTAATCATAGTTTGTGGTCTAATAAGTGAAGATGTTTGTTAATGTGCTTGTGTTTTGTCTATTTGCATGTATTTTCTTAATTTACAGTGCATTGAGCTCTCAGGGCCACCGTACTTCGAATATAATTGAAACCAGTATAGCACAGTTCCTGAAGGTCCATGCCAGTTTTCCAGTCTCTCTAGTAATATGTTGTGGTTGACCATGTGGAATGCAGAGACTGAAACGTTTCTACTGTGTTTAGGTGGATGTTATTCAAGACCTTAACAAGAGTCGTCTCTGTGCTGTGGTCCTGACTGGAAAACATTAAAAAAAATAGTTTATGGTCAAGCGTGATTAACTGTTGAAAAACAGTCTCTTCAATGATTTCACTCAAAATGTTAGGTTCAATAGCCGCCTGTAATTGTTAATTAGGGAGTTGTTTAGATCATTTTAAGAGTGGCTTAATAACTGCCATGTCTGTGGGAAATAGCCTCAGAGTAGAGAAGTGTTTACTATTATCAGAGGATCTGATGCCATGCAGTTAAAACCGCTTTAGAAAAAGCCTGTCGGTAAGATATCAATGCAAGTAGCAGCATGAGGAGTTCAGATGTTGCACAATTTCCCCAAAAGGTTTTGTAGCTGATGGGATTTCGTCAATAAAGAACGAGGCCAATTCATTACATGACAGTTGAGGAGTTACTAGACATAAACAGCACTACATAGTTTAAATATTTAGCATTTCTGTTATTTGTCTTGTCAGACACATGTATGCTGTGGTTTGTCATGTCATTAATCTCTCATACAAAATGTAAACACAATGAGCTTTTACTCATAGTTCTTAGTAGATAAGATTAGGAAAGCACATTTGAATTTGAAATGTTTTGCCTTTGTTGTCTTCCTGTATCCCAGCTGGTACAAATCAAGTGACGTTGCTGGTTGTTCTCTGGCACGTGTGCTTTCTCGTGTGGAAATGATCTGTCTGAGGTTTACCATCTGTTCACTGAGCAAAACATTTCACTCAGCCAAAACCTTTACAATTGTTTCAACCTGGGGATCAAACTTTTAGTGTGATTAGAAAAACCTGTATGGTTTAATACAACCCCGACAACTCACAAACAAACGAATCTTGCATGACAAAAGTTGAGTACATGTTGAAATAATTTGTGCTTGTTATCCTCTCAAACCAAACTCAAATCATTATTTGTCAGAAAAGAAAAGGTTGTAAATTGATTTTAAATCCGTTTATTGAAAAAAAAACATTTCAAAACTGTGCAAATAAAGAGCAAAGTGTCACAAAAAACATGACTTGTTGTTACCAAAGAAAACTATAAATATACAAAAAATGCCCCTTTAGGCTCGTAAGATTTGTTATTTCAGGTCAGAAATATGGCGAATTCACTTTTATTACAATTAAGGCAGTCAACCAGCATCACCTTCCACTATTTAGAACCAAGAACATTTTTTTCTTAAATTAAATAAAATTGTAGTTATTTAAATATATAACTAATAATACAAGAACTTAAAAAAAATAGAGGCCCAAAATGGCAGTGTCATAATAATTTAGAAAA